CTTTTGGTAATAGACCTGTCGCCTCGCCGGCCAACTCCAAAAGCCATCCTCAGCATACGTTAGACATTTATGTCTTGGTTTTCCACACCAACCAATGGACGAGCGACACACCACCACACTGCGAGAAAATCCCTTACTTACCAGCTAAATTGACAGATCTCCTGTGTGGATATTCTTTGGAATATAGTTAAACTAAACAAAACAAAACGAAACAAAAAACTATAAAATCAGTTAACTATAAGAATTAAATTATTATTACAAAATGTATCAAGTAAACGAGGCGTACACGCGATATCTAAATTATTCTTAATCATATCTTCTGCACTTTCGTATTAAAAGTTTAAGGGAAAAAATTAATTCGAGTGAATTAATAAATTTCCCCTGAAAAATGTATAGTTACTAGCAAGCCAAATGCCGTATTGAAGGGCTCATTTTTCTAGACCTTATTTCGCTCAGTGCACTGGTGCGAAGAAAATCTCCCCCAGAAAATCTCGACCGCAACTAGCAAACGTTGGCGTTGGCCCTCGGCGACTATTATTACTACATTTACGAGGCTGCAGTCTGCTGCTGCTTGTCCTTCTCCTCTCCAGATGGAGCAGCATCCCCGCCAGCGGTGTCCATAAAAATGGCATTGTAATGGGACTTTGGAGGCGTCGCCATCGTTGCCACAGCAGAGTCACTGATTGACACTTTTTATGTTTCAGCGGCTGCTGCTGCCGGCAAAAGTTCAATGAGTTATGATTCGAGACAGGGCTCTTTGTATTGGCCATTGTTCCATCTTTAGCCAGTCAATGGAGGGCTTAATGAGCCGGCTGTCTTTGGGAGCGGAGAAAGGCGGCAGGAAATTCATTAGCGCGGATGAATCTTTTGGGGATTCGTACCTGTTGCATCCGTTGATAAATCGAACTGCATGCACGGGAGGAAATATATTTGTATAGATATAAATATATATTGTATCGAAGCTATAAGTTAATAGGTATTTTCAAACATTTTTGATAATAATATAAACTATATAATGTAAACAATATAAAATATATATAATAAAACCCTATAAACCCACCATTTTAGTAGCCCCAAGCATTTTTGGATGCATACTACTCAAATTTCAAGGGAAAGATGGAAGGTAAAATGCCATTCAATCATCATTTGTTACCATATCTGCTTTTTTTTCGGTGTGCAAACTTATCGATGCATCATCAATTATGGCACATTTTGAATGAGCTGAGTGAAGAGTCGTGTGTTTCGCAATCATCATCTGCATCTGCCCCGCTGTATCTGTATCTGCATCTGTATCTGAATCTGTATCTGTATCTGAACCGATGCCCGACTAGACTCATTGTCTGGCCAGCATGTGAGGCGATGCGATTTGTGTGTGAGATGTGCCAACGCCATTTGCTTTGTTTTTTACTTTTCTTGTTACATATATTTTTTTGCCGCGGCGGCTGACTGGTGGTGTCTAAAAATATCAAAAGCAGACCCATCGCATCACATGGCATCACAACATCGGTGCAAGTAAAGTAAGTGCAAACTGGTCTGCGATGTCTTTTGTTGTCTCGCCACAGTCTGCTTATCACAATCGCAGCAAGCCAAAACAGCAGCATCTGAAATCAGAAATCTGAACGAGCTGAGGTATGGCAATCACATTCACATTCACATTCACATTCACTATCGCAATCAGAATGGGAAGCGTTCGCTTGTCGCCCTGTTAACAGCCGCAATGAGTCAAAAGTAGTCTTTTTGCCAGCAACCAGCCACAACAATAGCAAGTTAATGACTAACTGCACGTATGTGGGCGATACCCTATATAAGCCCTATAAAAGAGCAGGCCACTTCTCTTGGCCTCCTAGAAGTTGGCCAATTTGACAGGCAGCAAGTGCATGCGGTGATCAGCAGATTGTCAGGTGGGCGAGCAGATAAAGTGAAAGTGTGCTAACAAATTGTTACAACGAACGGATACATTTAACCCGTTCGAGAAGTGGTTTACCTATTGCAATTTCCTGCTCTTTGACTTGCAACGCTTTCAGTTAAACGTATTCTGCTTCGCAAATAGTTTAGGGCAGCAAGCAGCCCAAAGTTTAATCGATCGACTGGGGCACGAGCATGAGGTAATGGTGTAAAGGCTGTTCCCTAGCTCGTATTACGTATACGACACGTGCACCGCCTCGGCGCTGGCTGACAATTAAAAATGCATACATATGCATCCATTTTATTTATTTAATTGCCACCACTTATTTATAAATGCAGACAGACAGCTCACAGCCTTGGCACGATCACTTGATCGCATCGATCCAATCGATTCTATGTGCTCCAATGCGATCCAACCGATCAATCCAATGAATCCAATGAATCAAACGGCCAGGTGGCCCGAAACAGCCGCCAAAAAGTCAACAGAAGGCGAATTGCCACCGCAAATCGCAAATCGCAAATCGCCAACCTGAGAGCCAGAAATCGTCTTCCCGCCACACAAAAACACCAAAACCAACACAAAAAAGTGAGAAAAAATAGGGAAGATATGTCAGCACATATTAGATTATCAACATAAACAAAAATGTTCCGTCTCGTCGTGTGTGTACACAATTCTTTTTTTTGTATTTTGCCCAGCATTTTGGGAATATTCATGGTAGGAATAAAATGAAAAAAGTGTATTTCTTTGTATGCCAAAAAAGCAAACACAGACGAGCGACGCGACCAAGTGCCAGTTTTGGGTGAATTGCGGGTTTTTACTTCGCTTGGGTGGGTTATAGGTGCTGTCGGTGGTGCTGGTGGTGCAAGCGGCGGGGTGAGGGGCTGAGGGGCGGCGGTGCAGGGCGGGTGGGCGTTTCTCCTAGTAACCGCAGGTAGGTCGCCAGACATTGGCATACGTGAGAGACCCCGGCCAGACAATGTTAATTAGCACTTCATGATAAGTTGTCTCAATTGTGCCGTCGTCGACTGTCGACAGTCGGCTGAAAAGTGCGCAGCGGGGGTGCTGTAGTTGCAGGGGCGGAACGCGGTGTTGCAGGGGGCTAGGGGGGATTAGGGGGGTTGGGGGGCTTCGAGCGACACGACACATTCGATTAACAACAACCGGCTAGCCAGCAACAAAATAACAAATCCGCAGACATGCTAATATATTTGAAGTTTCTATTTTAAAACAAAGCAACAATGTCTGGCACAGCAATATGGAAATCAACCACCAGATCTAGACAATATGTGGTACCCAGTGCTGGTTGGATTGGAATGAAGAGTATATTTAATATGCATACTTTTACAAATACTGCCAGTAAGTAAAAGCTCTGTGCAAACTAATGCAAATGCCAAATTAAATGTACTTAAAAAGCGAGCTATATAAAATATGCAAACCAAAACTCCATCACTCAAATTGCAAATAGCGTTATGCCAAAGAGGTTACCCAACTATATGATACCCGTTACTGAGCAAAAAATGGTTAACAGATAGTATAGATCGTATGGGCTTATGGGTAAATGCTCTGTAATTGCTCCAAGTATCAAGCAATTAAAAATATACTTAAATTATCAATTCGCAGAGGGCTGACTACTGTTTAATTTTAGATGTATTACTTAAAAGTGCGGTGCATTCAAAAAATATACCCCACTATCACCCAGTAATTTGAGCACAAAAAAAGGTCGAAACGCGTATCATCAAAGGAATGTCACATGTGAATCATATCATTAAAAATAAAACCAAACCAAAAATAAAATAAAGGCGAAATAAAGCTGCATAAATAAATTTAATTAACGTGCGGTTGTCAGCGCCACTCCCCCTCCCCCTGCAGCACCGACACCCCGACCGCCCGTCTGACACTTTAATTTCTTGGACTTTGCACGGCGGCTCAAGTCGGCAAACAGAAAAACCGCAAAAAAATCGAGTGACAATGAGCTAACCGAAATTCAGCTTAACAACAAAAAAGCGAAATAAATATTTATAAGCAAATAAAAGCGTGGCAAGTGGACTAAGATGAGAAAGACGAATACAAATTGTGAGCCGTAATAGAAGGCGAAATTATATCATATAATTGATAGCCCATAAATGGCTCTACCTAAAAAAATATCCCCAATTAAATAATTATAAATTCCAACGACGAGCACCATTGAACTCGAAAATAACAAAAAAGTAGACCAAAAAAATTAAAACTAAATATAAAAACAAATATTTATATAAAAATAAAAGGGCAATCAATATCAATATGTTAACATCTTGTAAGGAAAACAATATTAAAAAAATACAAGAAAAAACAAAACAATTTACAAAATTTAACTTAAAGTAATACCATTTTTACTTAACCGTGGGCTATGAAATAAAAGACAAAACGCTATAGTTGAGTTTTTCGAATATCAGATACCAGTTACTCAACTGGTGGAAGTGCGAGGGAGAAGTTTTCGGATCTAAGTTTGCTGCGTCAGCGTTTCTAGTATCTGATTAATCTTAACTTCTTAGCTTTTATGATTCCCGGGTTCTCAGTATTCATACGGACAGATAGACGGACAGATCGGCTCGACTAGCTATCCTGATCAGGAATGTATATACTCAATAGTTCGATCCTCCCGCAGCTGATTAATGGGTATTATGGGATAGCCGGGGATCTCGACTACGGCGTTCTCTCATGTTTTTGTTATAAAATTGCAATTTACACTTTGCACTTTCACACTGGTGCTCTTCTGGGCAGCTTTATGTATTAATTTTTTTTAATTTAATTTCTTATATTTATTTTTGTAATATTATTTAATATGTTATATGTATAACATTTTATTTTTTACATTTCGACTATTATTATATGATCACAATTAATTTTATTTAATTTATTTATGGGATCTTATTGTTATGGAAATCAGCTGTCCGTATAAATACTAATACAAAACAAATACAAATGGTTAAAGAGAACAACATTTAAGAGAAGAAGAAAATATGCCAAAAATGTAGTTCTTGAAATTCGGAAAGAGAAGAAATGTTAATGTTAAAAACGTACCATATGTTAACATATGTTTAACATGCAGTTAACAGCAAAGTTGTTCCGTTGGCACCCGTTCCGCTCTCAATGTGTGGTGAAGGTGAAACGCCGGGAATCAAATGGAATATTGAGTCCCAGTCGTGTTTTTTTCCGCTTACGCTCATTGAAACTTTGCGTGCTTTTCGGTTCAGTTCGTTCCGTGCGCGCTACTAATTATTATAACTCGGGCAGAAAACACCCAGAAAAGCAGTACGCCAACAAAATATGACAACCAGCCACAGTTTTTACATCGAGCAATCAGCATCCAAACAAAGTGAAGCAAAATAAGCAGCAGCAAATAACAAATAAATACACAAAGCCAACATATTCAACTCACACACACACACACACACAACACAACACACACACACATAGCCAGCGTTCCTGTACTCAAAGCATTCCTAATCGCCGCAGAAAAATAACAACAAGCAGCAGAAAGCAGAAATAACATCAACAAAATTCAACAAAAATAACAGCAAATAAACAAATTGGAGGAAATTAATTTAAAATCGAAAATAAAGCCATGTATATAAGTGTTGCTTAGATAAATTCGCCAAAAAGTGTCACAAAAAGTGTCTATGAAAATCAGCAAGTTTAAACAAATTTAGGAAATTTATGCCCTCAATATAGCGCAATTCCTAAATCAATTGTAATCTAAAAAATATAGTTAAAGCCAATACACAAGTAAAAGTCGAAATAAAAGCGAGTATCTCGTCGATAAAAGGTGAGCGAAGCACTTTTTTATTGGGGAAAAACCTTTTTTAAGCCGATTAGCCATAAAAGCACAGCGTAATTGAACTTTGGAGCTGCAAAGTGTGCCCAATATTCGGTAGCCGCACTGTAGGCGCTATCTAATTATAAGCTATTCATATTCCATCCGAAATCTGCTCTCTATAAATCGCATTCCGGCGACTTCCTGTCAACACTCACACACCACCGCAAACAGAAGAAAAAACAATAAAAAATTCGTAGGAAGAGCTACAAAATCCAGTCAAAAACTGTCCACTGTCCACATAAATGCAATAAATTTTAAAATCAGCGCTGGTATTTTTCACTATTTCCAACCAGACGACAGATATCACATCCCTCGCCAAAGAAAAAGAGTATTGTGGCACGTATAACATTTGTTTTAAGGCAGTTTTGAATGCTTTTAAGACCCTTTAATATTTTTTGTGGCTGTCATAAAGCATCTTGTAATAAATTAGCCGCGGGACAGAAATATATAATTATTGTTTGGCGGTCAGGAAGACATAACAAATATTTGTGGATTGGGGTGTGCCTTTGTCAGACTTTTGGGGCTTTGTACTGATGCGGTTTTACCAAAATTTATTCGAAAGCTGAAATAAAATAAATATGCTAAATTCTCTCAAGTTAACTAAATTGAAAGTTAATATTTGGCCGTGACTCGATATCACCAAAATTTGAATGCTTACAATGATATAGTTAATATTGGTCATTTATTTATTATTACAATAATGCAAGGGTTATATTAACAGAAGAAATCAAGTTTGTTTCAAATGACTCTAGGACTTTGAAAACCCTATACTCTGTCCCATTGTTATTAACAAAACAAAACGAAAATCTCTAGCTTAATTAGGAAGAACGCCATAAAATCTGGATTTTCTCACCTGAAACACAAAGCGCCTGACTTAGCTTTGATTAGATCTTGCAAAGACGGTTTTGGGCTAAGAAAAAAGCTAAGAACTTCCCAGAAGAGCTTTATCTTTTCTGCTCTATCGGAGCCGCAAGGTTCTCGCTTTTCTCTGGCTACGACTCTGGCTTTGGCTTTGGCTTTGACTATGACGATGGTTATGGCTATATGGCTGTGAAGACAAAAGGCCCGGGCCATGGAGTTTTGATGGAGGAACCCGAACCGAACAAAACCAAGTCAAAGTCGCGTGTAGTATCTCCCCTCTCTATCTAGGTGGCTCGCCCCCTCTCTCTCTCCCTCTCCGCCGCACAGCAGTAGGCAAATCACTTCCGTTCAATGAACCCATGCGTAAGCTGAGTTTTTTTTTGCTTTTGCTCTTGCCTTTTGCTTTTCCTTTGCTATTGCTATAGCTATAGCTATTGCTATTGCCATTGCCTCTTGGCTATGCCACACACACACGCGCGCTCGCACACCACACACACACCAACAGTCAGGGACACACAGACCCTCACATGTGGCTCAGTCTCAGTTTTTTCTCTTCGCCTTTTACACACAGCTGTGGTGAAGTTAATAGAAGCGCCTGGCTTCTCTTCAACATTAGATTGGAAAATAACTACGAAACTAACTCTGAGTGGAATAAGAACTGTGCAGCACATAGCTTTGTTTTAGATTGCCAATATTTGTAGGTCAAAACGTTTAATGTTGAAAAGAACATAAAAAACAGAAATCACACTTCGCTTTTGGGTTGGTATTAAGTACGAGTGACAAAGACATGGCTCCTAAAGTATCTGCGCCGACTGTAGGAAATTCCCACAGTCGCACACACGTGCAAGTAGAAGAGTTCCCATTGCTTTGTCGTCTTTGGCTTACCTTTACACATCCACATGGCCTCCCACCTTCGGTTTTCCCCTCTCCCGTTTTCCCCGCTGAGAGCATAAGAATGTTACGCATACGCCTCGTATGTTGTCACGGAAAATTTGACTCACTTGGCCGGCACATTCCGAACATCTTTACGGCTGGCCATTAAAATGGTTATTATGTTTTGAGTTCCTCCTCCAGTCGTTTACAGAAATGCCAAAAATTTGCGCGAAACCAAAACCAAAACGAAAACTAAAACAAAAGTGCTTCGTTAAAAGTTCATGAGAAACTCACGAAGCAGCGACAGCGGCTCGATTGACCAGAAAATTAAACGAAAGCTAATTAAACAGCTGACGACACGGACGCACACACACATTTGTAGGGCTAAATCAAGGTCTTTTGTTTTTGCCATACCGCCGTCCCTATCGCGCAATATATCGCTCATACGCCCCATGGCCGCTTATCTAGCGTCTGGTCTGGTTCTTCTGCCTGCTTCTGCCTGCTTCTGCGTCGCTTCTTGGCTTCTGGACGGTGTGAGAAAAGGTGGAGCCAGGCAGCCGGTCCGGTCCGGTCTTGGTCTTATCACCAGAGTTCTCGTCTCTTCTCGCTTTTCTCTAGTTTTTTTTGCGTTTCGTATAAAAGCCCCAACACAGGCACACAAACAACAGAGATACCCATAGAAGCCATGGACTTGAGCACCTGTCCGACGGGCGGACGACGTCAACAGCGCTTCCCGCGCCACCCACATGACCACCTCCGCGGAATCAGCAGCACTACACACCGGAGTAGCAGCGACAGCACACTCGGAAAAACGAATGCATGGAATTCCGGAAGCGAGCTCTTTGAATTCGAAGCAATTTGGTAATTCCAGGGAATTTCATAATAGGAAATGGGAATTGCAGATAACTGTGACTTACTATGACATACTTCAGAGATACTGTTTTGAAATTGGCAATCAATGTGATTTGCACACTCTTACTATTCAGCTATATATAGAAACATGAAAAGGTATCTATGGAATTCATTAGGCTGTGAAAGTTGCTGTTACTCCTTGTTTTTCCATGTATTTCTTGTGAATTACATTTTTGAACTCGAGTTTCTGCGAGTGCACCACCAAAACCGCAACATCACCTACATCACCACAGCGACCGAGCATTGAGATTAGAGAACGGACAGCAACTGACGAACTACGGGCGACAACATTCCCCAAGGTCATTAATGGTGCTGCAGTGGAGCAGTCCGACTGACGAGGTGGGTGGGATCGGGTGGAATAGCCCCGCTGCAGGCGGGCGGCGACTGATTGAGGGATCCCGGTTCCTTCGATAAGGAAATCGCCACCGAGATGACCAGCCAGATAATCACGTGTTGCGACGGCAATGCCGGCTGCTCGTTGATTGACCCTCAAAAATTTGTGAAATAGTCGAGTGGTTATGGTTATGGCTTCCAATCTCTCACTCCCTTCAGTTGATAATAAATAAAATCACTAATTGTCGCGAGAGAATTTGTTTTATTGAGCGCTTTAAATTATAAACGCTTTAAGTGCTCGCAGCTCAGAACTATAAGGTTTCCGTAATCTTTTGAAACGCAAAACAATTTGCAAATGTTTATTTAGCATGAATGAGAACCATTCTCTTAAAAGCCATATCTTCTTTGAAAATCATACAAGTCACTTAACAAATAGAGAGTGGGTATACTGAAACCCTCAACTAAAATGTAACTTTAACACCCAACTTGACTAATCCAATGCCCAGTTAGGCATACCCGACTCACAGCCATTGATACCCTCCAAACCGAGCGAATCATTGGAGTTCATAATCAAGTTTACTTACACACACAGCGGCTGAGAGCCCCATATATAGTCATCAGTTCATTCCAATCGGAATCGGCCAGTTGTCTGGGTCGAAGTCTGAAATTTGCTGTTTTATTTCGCTTCGATTTTACTGTTTCTGCGATTGTTGTTACTACTTTTCGAATTCGTTTATTCGCCTCCTTTCGCCATTTGTCGTCTTTCCATTGTTTTCGTTGGCGACTTTCCTATAGACATTTGTATAGTTGTATATTTTGATCTGCGTTTTGTCTTCTTTCCTATCTGACTTCAACTTTTGTGATATCCGCCAGACGCGATACTTTTGCGCATGCATACATTTTCACTCAACGCCATCAGCTAATAAATGCTAATTTCTGTTAGTTTCTGTATGAGAAACAAAAAATGAAGGTTCACCGAATATCTGGAATTTGGGGCTTTCTTTTGTCTAATGTCTACACACATTCATTCCCACCATCTTATCAGCTTTGTTCATTCAAAAATACGTATACAACAAATCGAGATTTGAGATTTGCGCAGGAACAACAAACACATGATATTCCAAAACTGGACAGACAAGCGGCGAAATCGCTAATCGATTGACATGCGGTCTTTGCCTGATTTGAAGACGTTTGAAGGCGTCCCAAGAATCCAGCTGAAAAGTTCAGATTAGGAGATTCGCAGGGCTAGCGATAGAGAAAAAGCAAAAAAGGCAGACCAGATTAGTCAACAAGTACTCGTATTATAGAATAAAAAGGGTGATTTAAAAGTGAAATTGAACTAAGCTGCAGAGAGATAATGGATTTTTAACCGATGGGGGAGGCTCCCTAAATAGATTTACCATGCGAGTATATGTACTATCTGTCCTTGTGTACGTAACAATGAATTGCAAGTATGGAAAGTGGAAGCCAAGTTGGAGAGCCAAAAAATGTTCAGATCAGATTGTTCCTAATAATCAACAAATTTCATTTTTCTGATTGTAAATTGAATGATCACAATCTCTTTTATTAAAGAATTAGCATATGGATAAGTGGAAATTCCCAAAACGACCCTAAAAGTAGTAAATAAAACTGTGATGAAATTCAACTTGTCTCTAATATCGGTATTTTTAGGTATTTTTAAATTTCAATTGAAATTTCCTTTAAATTTACATAACAGTCTATTCTTACATAATATTTTGTTCTTACATAATATTTTATTACATAATATTTTATTCTTACTTAATATTCTATTCTTACACAACATTATATTCTTACATAATGTTCTTTATTAAATTCAGTAGCTAGCCATATATTCTTACATAATGTTCTTTATTAAATTCAGTAGCTAGCCATGAATTTGGGAGCAAACTTAAAGCCTTGTTTCGCAGCACCATTTAGATGAGATTTCCATGGAGTGAGGATAGGGGAAG